TTCTCAGATGACTACCTGATGGTAGGGCCGGCACTGTTATAGAAAGAAAAGTTCAGCTCAGATGATCAGCTCATCAGTTTGTTTCGGTAAACTGATATGAAATCTGCCATCTTTATTCTCTATGAACCAATCAGCAGAAACCCAGTAGTTCAACTGTTACGGACATCAGAAATTATTTTATTCAGAAATGGCAAAAGCATGGAATTGGAGCGCTACTTTAGATTACTGAACGTTAACGAAAACAAAATCCAACCTGCCTGACTTTGTCTGGTGTCCAAAATATGAACTAACCCATTTTTAAAATTGCAGTCTCCTTATGAAATAAATAATATGTATTGATCATTCTTCAAATGTTGAGAGATAATGAACAGAAATTATAAAACAAGATAGTTTGTAACTTGATGCAAGATTACAGTTTGAATGTTAAGCATTGCATCTTTATGTCAAATATGGCATCTGTGTTAGAAACACACATACGTTATTTGGATCTAGGGCGTAGAAACTCTTCCCCCACAAATGAGCTGATATCTGCTCACTGGAGTGTTTACTTGAGTTCTGAGGATCCCTGAGGTTAATTGACTCTCCAGAACAACTCTGATACAGCACAAAAAGCTTCAGTAATTTTGAAACTCTCAAGAGCTTTGATGCAGGAATGAAAATACTTGTGCATGTGTATATGGGACTATTCAGAACACAGCTTTCATGTATATCAATTATATTTGCAGTCCCTTTTAGTTCCACATCTGCTTTGTCTGTTTAGGTCAGAAAAGGATACCAAGAACAAAACATACATGTGTGCATTAAAGTAAGATTTGTGGGGTCCTTCAGTTTCATCCAGGAAGGAAGATAATGCTACACTTGATGGCTCACAATTCCTTCTGTTCCGCTAATAGCCTGGAATGTTGCTCTGCTGCTGGAAGCTAATACTGTACTTAGGACAGGATAATCTTAAAGGCACAGAGTCTCTTGTCTGTTGAATTCAATAGGCTGCAAAGTCTAGGGGAAAGCAATTCTTCAGATAGGGAGTGGGCATATGTGAGAGATATGGGTTTGGCTGTGTAAAAACCACAACTTTGCTGTTTACGAAGGAGGTACAATTAGCAGCTTTTTCCCATGGTGAAGCTAAACACAACACATGCACACAGTGAGAGAGAGGGGGGGGGAGAGAGAGAGAAGCACTGGCTGATGGATCAAAATGGCTGATGGATCAAAATGATACAGACCACCTAGGGCATCTCCTTTCAAAATGGCTATGCAACTAGGCAGGAACTATTGTTGTCCATGCAATTGCACACTGTGCACACAAACTGGTCCTGCAAACACAAACATGATTTTGGAGACAGACCAAAAAAAAGTGGTATGTCAGAAACAGAGGGGGAGGATTGTGATTTTCTCCCACTGGTGCATGTGAGAAAGAGACAACTGAGGATTTCTATCCCCATGTGTCTCCAAGACAGTTCTGCTCATGGATTTGGAAATAAAGTTGAAACTATTATTGTTTCTGAGAAGGTGGATTGTAGTTCACGAAAGTGTTAACCATCATAAATAGATCTATTAGGCTTAAAGGTGCCACAATAGGTTGGTTTTGGTTTCCTTTTGTTACACACCTGTTATCCGGTTCTCTAAAAGGGAAAGCTCTTAAAAATGAGAGAACTGAGACACGAAGGCTTCTATTGAGGTTCTTTATTGCAAGATAGAGACACTGCTGCAGAAAGCGGGGAGAAAGCAAATCACCTACTTAAGGCGATAATGGGTTTCTCCAAAGAACAAAGGAATCGGTACAATCTCTTATAGCCTTTCCCTTCTGGGCGATTGGGGTGGGCGCACAATCTAAAAGGGCGTGAAGTTAGTTAGCAAAATTCATTGGATTAGTAAAAACACATCTTAAACATGCGCAGAACAGTTAAACAGATCTTAAACCGTCCTTGCTGGCTTAGCCTAGAAGGCTGCATTCCATTCTTATCTAAGCATGTTGCTTTTCAAGCCTTGAGCTACGAAGAAAGCAAGGAAAGGGTTTGGAAATAAAGTTGAAACTATTATTGTTTCTGAGAAGGTGGATTGTAGTTCACGAAAGTGTTAACCATCATAAATAGATCTATTAGGCTTAAAGGTGCCACAATAGGTTGGTTTTGGTTTCCTTTTGTTACACACCCTTGTGAAACAGACTAGTATGGCTATCTCTTTGGCAAATATGACAAAGGAAGGTGCCTTAAATATCCAGCACTTTCTCATCCAGAAAAAAACAGACTGTGGAACAACTGCCCCTGAGTTGTTGTTGTTTTACAATTTAAAAGAGAAGGATGTGCCGAACAGGAACATGAGCAATCCAGAGCACAGAGTGCTACTCCTGTCCTCTGAAGATGCCGGCCACAGAGACTGGCGAAACGTTAGGAAGAACCTTCAGAACATGGCCAAAGAGCCCGGAAAACCCACAACAACCAACACTAGCAATTGTTGGTTCACATTATATGCATCCTGATTTCTCACATGTTGCATACTCACACACAATGGTCCCCACATTTGGAGCCCCAAATGTTCTTGGACTACAACTCCCAGGAACCCTAGATAGCATAGCCAGTGGTCAGCATTTCTGAGAGATGTAGTCCAAGACCATTTGGGACTCCATGTTTGGGTGCCTCTGCATATAGGCAGGGCTTTGTTCCTTTGAAATTTACTTTTGTGTTCTTTTTTTTTCTCTCATCACTGTGCCATGTAAAGTCAAGCCAAGCCACAATCTCTGAACTTAAATGGTCTTGTTCACACACTCCCCTGGAAGCATGGTGAAGCTGATACTCTAAAGCCAATTGCATCTTCAAAGAAACTGGACTCCACCTTGAGACCTTTGAAACTAAGGGGAAGGGGGTGCTAGAAAAGTTTCCATTCACTTCAAATTCGTCACTTTCCCCACCTACCACAACAACTGCTGCTGAAACAGCACTCTTCATGAACCCAGACGGGAAGAGTGTCAGACAGCTGTCATGCCATGAATCAAACTTAAAGAGCTAGCTAAAAGTGGAAGTGAACTCTACAGCCCACATCCCAAAGCACAGTGCTTTAAAAAAAAAACAATTAAAATTGATTTTATTAGATAAAACAGGAGGGTTGAAAATTAGGCACATTTTTGCCTAATGACAAGAAGTGTGTCTACCTTTCACTTATAGCAGTCTGATAACATTTAAACTTCTTCCTAGAATGTCTGGCTTTATATTCTGAGCTCTTAAAATTCTTGCAAAGAATTGTAGTTAAGCACTGTAGTTAAGGGAAGTGCAGTAGGGCTCTCTAGCAAAGGGCTCGGAGCACCTCATCAAGCAGGATTCAGTAGGATGGAATCATGGTTGTTGATATTGTACTGGCCTGTCATCAGTTTGTAATATAGACACCACACAAGGGGTTTGTTCTCTGGATAGCTTTGCAGGAAATGCCGATCGACACACTGGGATATTGGATTATATGGTCTCCCCTACCAAAACACAAGGGTCTCAGTCCAGCCCATTTTAGGCACAACATCCGTTTAAAATTGAATCCTTTTAGATCCTAATTACGCCCTTCCTCCCGTTCCACACTTAAAGAGTTCCAGATCATTCCCATGGAATAGGAAGTTTATGTAGAGACTCCAGTGTGCCATATTAGAATAGCCCAGAGTGTAGAATAGGCCCTGTATGAATGCTGGAGTCAGTGGAATATTCGTGGGCCTTCCCCACGTGTGTTTGTTTCCCAGGCCCTGTGCTGCTGATTCCGAGGGCAATGCAACAGGAAGATGGACAAACTTCAACACTGTTTATTGTCTCCATCGCCTGCCTTGCTCCAAATGACATGAGACTATGCAGGCAAAATGCACACACAGACTAATTTGTCGATGGAACTTGGCATCAACAGGGAATGAGGGGGGATGGCTCGGGGTTCAAAGCCACCTCACAGCCCCAAATTAAAATCGATTACTTTGGCACTGCTCTCCTTGCAATTTGCTTCCCTGCCCAGAGACCCAAAGAAGCACAGTAACTCCCTGTAGCTTCAGATGGTGCCTTCAGATCTGGCATCCCTCTGTGTTAATGTCTCTCTGATTCCACTGAAGGAGGAACCAGCTTAGAAAATATACAATGAAGGCTTGGGTCTAAACTCCCTGAAGAAACGTGTTCTCCCATACAGACCTACCTGGACACAGTTTCTGAAGCTGCCCTTCCTTTTATCCTGCCACCCCTCAGAGGCACATTTGGTGGGGACATGGGAGAAGGCTTTCTTAATTGCAGCTTCCAGGCTTCAAGGCTATGATATCCCTACAAAGGGAAGCAGGTTGGCAGCCCCCATTCCCTCCTGTCCTTCTGCCATCAGACAAGACCTCTGTATTCAGCCAGACCTTCAACACAATGGCTGACTACTAAGAAAGGATCGGTCCTGTACTTTTTTTAAAAAGGAGAGGATTTAGAACTGTTTTTTGACTCAACAGTGTTTGTACAATACTTCAGCTGTGTTTTCTTAATATAATTTTCATAGTCTGTTTTATCAGTTCCTGCTTCTATGTGTAACTATTTTTAATGTTGTGTTGTGCTGCCCTAGGTTCCTCCTGTCCATGAAGAAAGGTGAGATTGAAGGCAAACAATAAATAAATCAGTCAGTCAGTTGTTTTCCTGAAGGGCCTTTTAATATGTCTTTCAAATGCATTTGTTTCATTAAAAGTAATTAAAATGAATTGTCTAGAAGGTTTTTAAAGAACAATCAAAACAAGTTAATAAATCAATGCATTGCCTTCAATGATTTGTGTCATAATAATCTATTGTTTCTAATGATTAATAGGCACTGGCTTGAGCTAACTCATGTAACTGAAAAAGTGAAATTATCAGATGGTTAGGTAACTGCCAGAAGACATTAGAAAGCTATGAAAATCGCATACATAATATGTTTTATGAGTAAAAAAGATATGTTTGTTTTGGCAAATGAAAAAATAAACATTTGCTTGGTTGCAGTGTAGACTTTGAACACTCACACAAGATGTAAGGGAGACATAAAATGAGTCAGACTCACAAAAACCTGGGACTGGTTTTAATTGTGAGCAATACTACACAACATGTTCAATTGGAGCATGCTTGCTGACCTCACAGATGAAAACACTATTTAAGATCTGGTAACCAGATGTTCCTCTAGGAACGAAGCAGCTGTGAACAGCCGTTTTCCAGACCACTTCAGCAGTGAGTGCAAAATATTCTAGCTGAAGAAGATATGATTGCATTAACTCTTCTCTTTGCTTTGTTGTGGGAGAGGGCTCCTGGTTGGGGATTCAAGAATGGAATTCTCCATAACTCCATTTGGTTAGGTAAGTGCATTTTTGACGGCACTATTTCCAGAGATAAAATCCTACACTGCAGAACTAGCCACCATTTCTCATATCTCTGCCAAAATTCTCACATTCCATGGGCAGAAGGCAGCATCTTATTACAGTTTCAACTGAATGAGGAAGGATTGTGTTGTTTGGCTGATTGTTCTTTATTTTAATGGGGGTTTTCAATGCAAAGATTCCATTTGTGAAAAAGAATGCCGCTGAAACATGAGAAGTGAGACTGATATGATCAGAAAACCTAAGCAGTACAGGATATATGACTCTAGAGATGTGGATTGGAGAGGGGAGGGAGAGCTAAAAAGAAACAGCTGTCTAAGATATGTATTAACATTTGGTTCATAGATATATGAAAGTCTTTGATACCCTACATAATAATGTATATAACAAAATTATTGTGCAGCATTTCAGAGTTACCGTACTTCCTGTACATATTTCTTTTCTATCTTCTCTTTCTTCTATTCAATGTTTTCTCTCTTTTAAAGAATTTCTTACTTGCTCTATCCCTCTGCTTGCCCTATACCAGCTTTCTCTCTGTTTCAAAGTGGCTGAATTGTACTGAGGGAGGCCAAGAATTGATAACCCTGCACAGTCTCTGGGTAATTATCCTTCAGTGCAGAACCACACTTTGTGAGACATTGTGCATTAAAGATGCAACCTTCAGTGACAAAATCTTGCACTTAAGTCTGTATGAGGAAGTGGGGATGGCACACAGTTGTACAAACGATGACATTTCAACATCATCCTGTTCCAGAAAGCTTTTAATTGAAATAACATCAACTGTGGGTCCTGATGGCAATTTTTAGAGTATCTATTTTAATTGTGTTTTAATTGTTTTATATTTTATTGTATTTTAATTGTATTTTAATTGTTGTAAGCCACCCAGAGACCTTTGGGTAGAGTGAGTGGCATATAAGTTAAATCAATCAATCAATCAATCAATCAATAAAATAAAAACCTGACACCCATTTATAGATCTTGTAAAATCAATTGAAAAAGTCCCCTCTCTTGCATCACATGCTGATATAAGAAAAGACTTAGCATGCAACCAAACAACACTTTATTCCATATATTTAGACTGCTTTGGGGAAAAGCTGGTTCACTGCAGTTTCCAGTAACCACATGACATTCTGGTAATCGCAAACTAGCCTAACCTTTATCTATACTGACCTACAACTTTTTGGCCCCAGGCAGGGGCTGCTATTTTTCTTAGTGCTGGTAGGATCGCTCCATTTTGGTTCAGCTCCAGCATGTGCGATTGCCGGCATCGAACCAAAGTGGATCCCCGATGTGTTGTCACTTTGCTTGAGTCACTACAGGACCTAACCTTTGTATGGGTGCAGATTAAAAGGATGGCCCATTGAAACAAAATCCAGCTTTCTCCTCTTTCACCACCACCATGGAGGGGGAGACAGAAGAGGATGTGGAGGAGTTTTGTCTCTACCTCTAAAGTTCACCACCGAATCATTTGAGTGGCAAGCCAATTCAGCAGCATGCCACTTAATTCTTTTTTTAAAAATTGTAGCTTTCCCCTTCTTCACTGCAGAGGAGAGGCAGGAAGGAACAAGGAGAGAGATCTCTGGGTTTTTTTCTTTTCTTTTCCATTCAGAGCAGTGCTTCCCAATGCCGGGTCCCCAGATGTTCTTGGACTGCAACTCCCAGAAATCCTGACCAGCACAGCTAGTGGTGAAGGCTTCTGGGAGTTTTAATCCAAGAACATCTGAGGACCCATTGCTTTAAAGATATGAACAGACTAAATAGGGCCAAATAGAGTCGCTTGAGGTGCAGAGTGGTTTTCACCTCAAAACCAGCCAATACTTGTGTGAACGGCACACCAGATCTCAAAATGACCTTGCTTAGCCCAGTCCAGCCTGGGAAACACTGCCTAGTCTAGTCACACCCTTACACAAGAGATGAACCCTTTTTGCGATCCTTTGATCTCACTCTGTGTGTTTGCCACTTCATTAATTTAATGTAATATGTATATTTCTATAGCATCAATAATTTGTTAAAAATATGAAGGCATTGGAAACAAAACAAAACTTTTAACCTTTATATAGGTGGGTTATCAGTATGAAGCCCTGTGATCCTCTTGTGCTCATGTTGCTTCCAGTTGCACTGCAGCAAGAAGGATTTGGCAATAAATTTCATTCTCTCTTTTTTTTTTACCAAGTTCTTATGTTTGGGGTTACAGTTATAGACTATGCAATATGCTGAGGTTATATCAAGATTTGGATGACAAAGGCCAGGATTCTAGCATGCAAGGCTTATTAATTTCAGGGGTAGGGAACTTTCGGCCATTCAGACATTTTGGACATCCTCTGCAAGACCATCCCAGCAAGGCCAATGGTCTTGAGAGCGTGGGAGCTGTAGTCCAAAATATCTGGAGGGCCAAAGGCTCCCACTCCTGGCTTAAGAGTTTTCTGTCACTGGGCCCTTATACTGGTGTGGCATATTTTATAAGAAACTGACACTGTGGCTCAGCAAATGACTTGGGGCACTGGAGTCTGTAATATATGTGCTTTTTTTAAAAAAAAACTGCTCTTCTTTATCGTGAAGAAATATATTACTGGAACCAACTGTGGTGTCCCAGTGGGTTTCTACCATATATAGGGTCAGGGTGATGATAATTTCAAATGTTTTGAATGGCTGGTTTGTTTTATTATTTGGCTTGGGCTGTAAGAGACCTTCCAACCCCAGACAAAACCATGAAATGCTGGGAAAGAAGGCAGGGCATTTATGAAGAAGGATTCTGACTTTGTATTAAAGTACTTGCTCGGCACAGAAACATATAGTACCAGGTTCAATCTCTTCCGCTTTAAAAATACTTTTACTGAATCGACTCCTATTATGTGACAGATCTGTAATCACATCTCCAGTGTGTCCTTCTTTAAATTCAAATGTAGTTGCAAGTGGAAACAGCCAAGGTGACTGGAGCAGCAATATCCATTTAAGTTTCCTCCCACACTCTTTTGACCAATCCAAATTGCTGTTTACCCTCTGGCTGCTATTTGCAACCCAATGTGTGTGTGTGTGTGTGTGTGTGTGTGTGTGTGTGTGTGTGTGTGTGTGTGTGTGTGTGTGTGAGAGAGAGAGAGAGAGAGAGCGAGAGAGAGAGAGAGAGAGAGGATGTGGAGGAGTTTTGTCTCTACCTCTAAAATTCACCACCGAATCATTCTTGTGATTTCCTATAGGTGCAAAAGTAGCTTGTGTGTGGAAATCTGATCAGATAGCCATCAGGAAGCAGCCCTGAAACAGGCGTGCCTCAGACTGTAGCCCTACTCAGCAATCCTTTACCTGGATCTCAGCAACATGCTTAGAGAGGAGCAAGAATCCCCTTCCATTGTTGATTTTTTCCATGTGGAAAGTGACCTATTTGAAAAGAAGAAGGGTTTTGTTTGTGTGTAGGTCTCCATATGCACAAGGACCCTGGAATATTGGGAGTTCTTGCTCATATGAAGAGCCTATATGAAAGCAGCTAATTCTCTTCTTCAGACACATTGCAGGGGCTAGTCACACTTCTCTCTGTATGCTTTTGAACAGGGTCCCCCAAGCCCCAGTGCCGGTCCGTGGCCTGAGCTAGACTGGGCCGCAGAGACAGATCTCCCACCCACCCCACACACATGCGCGTGAGTGCTTGGAGAACTCATTGGCCAAACCCTTTTGGCTGGTTCTGTTGGCATAGCAGCATAACTTTTTGAGGTGAAGTGCATGAGCTAAAAAAAATCACTGTAGAGTGATTGATTGATTGATTGATTGATTGATTGATTGATTGATTGATTGATTGATTGATTGATTGATTGATTGATTGATTGATTGATTGATTGATTGATTGATTGATTGATATGCCACCCACACTAACCAAAGGTCTCTGGGTGGCTTACAACAATTGGGAAACAATTGAGTTGTGTGACCCAGAGCGCAAGTGATAATGTTCACGGAGGTTTCTTAACTTGGGGCAGTTTGCCTCCCAAAGTTATGCACTCTACATTTTGACCAGTGTGTACTGTTAGAGGCTGAATGTCACCACAACACAAGGAGAACCCTATCGTATGAGACCAAAGGCTTATCCAGCACAGTGTTTTGCTCACACAGTGGCCAACCAGATGCCAATGGGTAGAGTAGTTATTATTGTTATGTTTATTGAGCTTATGGTTGCTTTGACTCTTACATTTCTGGAAAGAGGTTTCAAACAATGCTACAGAAGCAGAATATCATTTTCAAGGAAGTCATTGTATTTACCTTGGAGGTATGGTATGGCTCTTTCAACTGCATACTTAGATATATGTCCTAGCAAGTGAAATGGGCTTAAACCTCTGTAAATGTGCACAGGAAATTAATATACTTGTATTTCTTTAAAAGTTTGGTGAAGTTACTTATTTAGACTGCAACTCCCAGAACCTCGAGCCCCTATTTTGAGTGACCATTCTGGATGAGGGATTCTGGGTGGTGGAGTCCCAAAAGTAAAATTTCCAAGCTTTGCCGTAATCTCATTCCTTGCTACAACATAGCTCATAGCAGTAAAAGAAAATATGACTTAGTTTATACAGGTATTGGCAAGTGGAAGCAACATATGAGAGGTAACATGTTGAATTGGAATGTCCTTTCATACGTGTTTATGTCATATACTATGTATCTATACATTAGTTAGATAGTGTGCAACAGTGTATAGTGATGAAAGATTGAATAAGGCAAACAAAGGTAAGCCGGAGTACAATCTTACAATATTCAATCTGTACTTCTTAAAGTTTCCCCCCTTGATTTCTGTAGTTTGCAGAAATTTTCCTCTCCAAATCAGATGGCTCATGATTCTGGGAGTTACAGGGGGGAAAGTAATGATTCCAACCCCTGGTTTTTACTTGTTCTGTTCTTGCCAGTATGGAAATATAGTCAGGGAACTGAGAAATCCCAAAAGTACAGTATTCTGTTTTTCAGCTAAAGAGAGACAGAGGGACCCTGCATCAGTGCCATCCCTGAAA